TTACTATATCTAATCCGAGCTTATTAATAAAGTTTACAAATGTTCTAGAGCTTTTCGTTCGGTTTTTACGGAGTTTTCAAGGGTTCGGTTTATCCAGTTTCGGATTAGGAGAGGCAACTGTATTTGTAACGACAAAGGGCTAAGGCTCTTTTAATGACAGATTAAGTAATAAGGCTCCGGAATAATATCAAATGATGTAATTTTTCAAACTTCAGCAATATCAAAAAATATTTAGATTGTATGTATGCCTTCGGCGCGTATTGGCGTATTCAAACTACGACAATATGCAAAGAGAATTATATATATTAATACGTAAAAGCAATGTTTTTTTTTTATTATACATGAAAAAAAAAAATTTATTTAACGTGTAATTTTAGTAGTAGAAGTACATTGTATAGAATAAAAAATATATATATATATTGGAAATATCACTTTTCACTGCCTAAAAGATGATAATGTAGAAGCAATGCAGAAGAGCATTATAATAGTAATCATAGGAAAAAAAAAAAAAAAAAAAAGTATTTGGAATATCGAAAAGGAATCTGACCTAAAAAAGATTATGGAAGGTTTAATGATGCGTAAGTATATAATTTTTTTTTTCTTTTTTTTTAAAAAAAAATGTTATTTACGTTACAAGTAATGCGTGGTTAAAATTTAATCTTGTGAAATGAAAAAATACTGTAGAGTTGACTGTATATTATTCAAAGACTGTATTATCGTTATCTTTATTTAGAATTTTTTCGAACAGTTTTTTTTAACTTAGACTTATATTTCGTTTGGTCAACCTTATTAAGTTTATATTGCAATTTTTATTTTAAAATTTTTATGAATACTAATCCATATATTAATATCCGACTATATAAAATTATGTAAGACTTCTGGATTTATAGATTATGTCGATAAATAAAAATTGGAACAAGAAAAAACTCAATGTTTACACCTACAGTATTAGAATTTTATAAAATGCCTCGTAATTATGAATGCTTAACAATTTTATCACGTCACTTCGATTTGATTTTATATTTTTAGTAAATCGTCTTGTTTAAACGTACTGGAATCTATGATAGCATTTGTAAATATATAGAACTATTATTAAATCTAGACCCAGACAATAGTATACAGTCAGGCTTCCTTAAACTCACTCCACAGTAAAAAAAAAAGTGTGCACTTAAAAAGGATGTGCATTTACAGTATATAGAGCTCTTCTCAGGTGGGAAAAATATTTAGGGTGAATTTACACAGAGCGTACATTTAGAGTGTGCACTTAAAATAATAGTTTTTAATAAAGTTTTAGAAATTTTATAGAATATCAAAATACAGTATAATTTAAATATTTTAAATACAGTACTGTATTTTAATTGTTAATTTATTTCTATTATAAATAGAATATCTATCTAGATATCTGAGCATATGGATCAGCATTAAATATAGGTAAACTTGTGGAAAAATGAGTCTTAATATTCAAAGATTGAATATTCTTCCACTTTCTTGGTATTTTATTCACGATACACGGAACAGAAGTTATTATGTTTTCCAACAATTGTGACGATGTCATATCAGTCGTGCCTATTTTGATCGCACTTTTAATTACATGATTTTATTAATAAAAATATCTAGTCAAATCAAAACTATAAACATATGTAAATCATTCACTTACAGACATGTTCCTGGACTAAAATGCATATATGTAGAATTACAAGCTTTGAGGATTTCTCTCTCAAAATGCTTTTCATTCTTTAAGCATACGGAAATAGGTTGCCTATTATTACAAAAGAAAATTATAAAATGTTCAATTTCGAACCTAAATTATAGAAATATGTTCTTGATCCTTACTTTTTTCTCTGAAAGAAACATTTTCCCAGCAATTTTGGAAGCAAAGGTATGACTCTATCATCTGCCATAAACAAATCATACGAATTACACAATTGGCGTTTCGCTTCATATGGTTGATATTTTTTCCGAAGTTTAGATATTCCGATCACCTTTATCCGGATTAAAATAACGATCTCGTAACTTTAGAAAATTGGTCACTCATACAATAAACTTAACCTACAAGTAAGTACCTTTCGTATACGTTTCAAATTTTTAGAAGCAACCAGTTCTTTAAAAGTCTTTTGCGGATCCTTTGTTATCAAGCAAATTTCTGTCGATGCATCATATAAAGGATGCTTTAGCGGACTAAAAAAATTATGACAATAATTAAATTTATCTCAAGAATATTATTGTGTTTCTCATATTAAAACACATACATGCTAACAGGTTTATCTTTGGTTATGTCTAAAAATCTGTGAGTAGAAACAATTAACCAAACAAAGTGTACTTTGTCTGCGAGAATGTCATTACTCTTATCCTCTTGTTGATTTGAAACATATTTAAGAAGTGCTGTGGTTGCCTTTTCGATCTGAAAAATTGAAATTGCCAGAATTAATTAGTAAGGCAATTCCATTATAAAAGACCTTTACCAATTAGTGAGAGATATAAAAAATATGAATAATCATTGACGTTACCAAATCTTTATCAAGCGTAGGTTGTTCTGTTTTTGAATCCATAATTTTTGATTTTTTTTTTTTTTTTTTAGCCGCGAAAGACCAATGTACAGTAGTAGATTTGCATTAAAAATACGATCACGTGACGCAGATAACATGATAATCTAGCTGCTAGTGTTAGCAATTGCCAAACAATTTTTTCGGCCAATAGCCAGAAGTTTCTAAATATATTGTTAACCAATTATATTACTAGCTTCTAATTTTCTTGTCCTTTCGGCATTGGCCGACCAAGTGACAACACTGAGAGAATATGGGCTATGAAATCGTGTAACAAGTGTTTTTATTTGGCCTGATTTTAATATCAAAAAACATATCATATAAGTGCGTACATTTCGAACATTAATTAACACTAGCTTTCGAAAATTACGATGAAATAAAGAAATTGTCTTTATTAATATACTATGTGTATATCTTGATTACCAGCAATTAATAAAAAAAAAAAAAAAAAAATCATGCACTGAAGAAAATGTTTTTCTCGTATGTTATAAAATTAAATAAAATTAGAAAATTTCACGTAATTTTATCAATTCTATTGTTATCAAAAATAAAAATTTGTTAATCATTATTCAAAAAACTAAAAATTAGATCTAACAATTCGTCACGTTCAAAGTTCGGAAACTTTTGTGATTCGGCACACATCTAGATATTAGTTACATCAGTGACTAAGGTTGCCTGCCGTAGTAGGTTCAGTGAAGTTGGAAGGGTTCAATCTTTTATTCTAAAGTGTAATTTTTTTTTGCTGTAATAGGTGTAATGGCTGTAATAGACGTAATGATTCTGGTCAAATCGGGTCAAGCAGGATTAATTGCTTATAAGCAGGTAATAGCTACAATCTGATCAAATTATTTATAACAATAAGGCATTGAATGAAAAGTCAAATTTAAAAGTATAAAGCATAAGGCATTACTTTACTTTTCAGAATTACTACACTTAATAATTCGATTGTTATTATCATAATTATATAGAACATTTATTTGTTACAGCAACTACAACCATTACGATATATTACAACTTTGGAATTAGGGTTGCAACCTAGATATTGTAATTATTATTTACGGCCGGCAACCTTATTATAAACCATTTTAATACTGTTTCATCATAGAAAAGTAAATAACATTCTAGGGATATCTGACTGTGCAAACAAAGTTCTGATCTTTTTGAATAAAAGTTTATTACATTGGATTGATGTGAATTGTAATGTATATCGATGAAAAGCAAATTCAAAATAAAAGAAAATGAACAAAAAAACCTAATTTTTTATCATCACTGATAGCATACATTTTCCGTTGGTTACTTCCATTACAATTGAAGCAAATAATCTATAAAAATATCTCTCGTTCATTTCTAGTAACCATAATCTGGATCACTCCCTTTTCTTCGTACATATTAAGTCTTTCCACAACTTTTCTTGACAAATGACCTCCCATTATAAAAGTACATGGTTTATGTTTTAGTCTGGTTTCACATTCATCAAGAAATTCGCTGATTGAATCTTTTGTATAAGTCCATGCTTTCGATCCCAAATTGAGAAACTTCAAATTTTCTGGAACAACACTTCCAATTTCACAAAGAACATCGTCAATATCTAGTTTTCCCTCGTCACTTCTGTCTCCAATAAAATCAATTTCTTGAAGTTTAGGACAACCAGAAAACAATGTTGGCAGTTGTGTGATAGCGTCATTCGAAACGAAGAGATGGATATTAGTAAGATTTGGACAACAAAGAGCAATTGTTGAAAACAATGTTCCCGAATGATCTGGATCTAACGGGTCCCTAAGATCGATATCAATTTTACGTAGACTTCCAAGAGTATTTTGAATTAACAAAATTAATTGTTGTATTCTTTGACCAGCGAGGTTTATATTAAGCTTATTTAGCTTGGTTAGGCTGGAATTAGCATAGCATTCCAATTCTGAAGATGCTGATGGATGTAAATTACGCCACGGTCGATGATCCGTGCCCAAAAGTGAAACAAATTGTTGTGCAAGTGTAGTGACTTGGTTTGCTTGTAAAATAAGACATAAATATATAATGTTAGTTATATTACGAACACAAAATGATAAATCTCATTAATCTAAATAAAAAAATATAGTCAAATAATAGTTACCTCGTCCACCTGGAGTTTGGTTTGGTGTGTTGTTCGTCGCTATAGGTTGAGCTTGAGTTTGAGCGGTAGATTGATTTTGATCTTGGCCTGCACTTTGATCTAAAGAATGATCATCGGGTTGAGCCACAGATGTAGATGTTGTAGGTTGGTTTTGTGCTTGAGAAGATGTGCCTTGAGAAATAGAAGATGTAGATAAATCTTGTGTTTGTGATATATTTTGATCTTGTATTTGAGACGTGGAAGGTGTAGGCTGATTTTGCGTTTGAGATGCATGTCCTTGATTTTGATTTTGAATTGCTACCGGTTGAGGTTGGACAACTGGGGCAACTTGTAATTGATATTGGATTTGTGCTTGATGAAATGATTGTTGAAATTCTCTTTGCCTTCGTTGTATTTCTTGTTTCTCTGCTTGAGTAACCCATAAAGAGCTTCTCGAAAGGCGGTTATAAGGAAATTCCAATAATTCTAATGTCAGCTCTTCAAGGTTGGAAAATCCACAAAAATCATCCAAAAGAATAGAGGTACGACCAACAATGGAAACCTTCTTGATTGTTTCAGTTTTTGATTGAATTGCTGATATAATATTTGGCTTCCGCTATATTAGTTAATCGTTCATGGTGCGAAATCGCTATACCTATTCTTTGGCAGAATCCCTTTATGCCTTTTCCTTCTTTTTTTCTCAATACCAATAACGGCAATATTCCATCGGATACACCAATTATTGAGGCTTATATAAGCTGTCTACCAGAAGAAGCCAAAAGCAAATTGATAGATGCTGGATTGGAACGTTATTTTCCTATAAAAAAAACGCCGGCTTTTAATTATGCCTCATTCTTACAAACTTTGAATTACCGGCTTTTGCAGGATGCAGTTAACGAAGTGTTTCCAGATACAATTTCAGAAGAG